CTTTAGTAACGGCCAGACTGCATTCTTCTTGCTCTGCCCAAAGCTTACATTTAGCCCAACATTTTCTCAAGTTTCCGGAGGGACTTCATCTGTAAAGGAAGTGTTACCCAAGGAATTCCTGTGTACAGACCTTCATTTTTGAGGAAAGACAGAACAAAGGTATTGCCCCGACTTCTCTACTGACCAGGCTTTGGTCTTACTTAAATTACAGTAGTGTAAAGCTCTGTCTTTCACACAGGACCTTGGAAATTTCAAACATTTGACTTAATTACTTTTTTTAAAAAACTTCCCTAAAGTTGATGCCCTTCTGTTGGCAACTCAGTTTTCATGTCAGGATCTTTTAAATGCAGGCTTTATATTAAAAATGCTATTTTCTTTTGCTAAGAAAAATATAGTTAAGTAGACAGGAAGCTAAACAGGTGGCTTTGTATGGTCGGTTTTATTATGTGAGAGAATTAAGAATGAAGCAGTTTCTTAAAATTTGTGATGTCAAAACATCGCTGGATGTAAATTACAATTCAGTTACATTCACTAAAATCAGTACATTTTAAAATGGCTCAACATTTCAAACTACATCAAATGTGCTTGCTTATCAACACTTGTTTGTATTTTTCTGTGGGCTTTAAAACTAAGATTTTAATTTTGGTCCATTTTGAAATTCTACACCAAGTCTTCATAAGGCTGCACTGATGCCAAAAAGAGACTTTGAAAGACACCCTGACTTGTTCCTTGCAGGTTCATTCAACTAAGAATTATTTACCACATTATTTACCATTACTGCAAAAAAGGAGAAAGGAGAAAGCTAAAATTTCAGTTTCATTTTAAATCTGAATTATCTTGAGAGAATAGGGTTTCTTTACATTTTCAAAAAACCCTGTGTCATAACACTATTTGCTAAGTAAAGCCATCTTTTAAAGATTAAGCATAAAAATACATGTCTAAACTAGTGATTTGTAGTTCACTTCAGTTTCTTTTTAAAAAATTCAGTCACACCAATGTACTGCTCATGGGGTTTTTTATTGAAAGCACTAAAGGCAAAACAACCAGGATGTTCTTGTGCAAGTGAGAAACAAGTACTGCTCTGTTTCAAAGAAACTAAACAGAAAAAAAGCAGATTCTAAGAATGCATATTCTTAAAGAATACTGTATTAGGGCTATTTCCCCAGTAGCAGCCAGAAACCCATCTAGAATTTTAGCCATAAGCAATGTATTGATTTTATTTTTTACTCAATAAGGCAAGTAATGTTTTTCTTCAGACACGGGTTACATTCGGCTGTTCCAGCCTCTGATAAAGTTAGTCCAGAGTTGTTGTTACTAGACTATGTGCGTTTATACCATTTTAATCTGGGCAGGCTTTAGGCATTGTTTCTTAGACTGCAAGAGTACTGACATGGAAGGCTCATCACTGGGTTTTAGAATTCACGGTTACTCCCATCATTCTCATGATGGCACGTTTAAGCACACTGGCTTCAAATCAAGGTCTCTTATTTATTCACTGGGTAAGTTTCTTACAATCAAGATTAGATTCTTCCCCGCTGGCTGACTCCATGAACTCAGCTGCTCTAGAAACCAGTCCTGTTCTAATATGTCTAAGTTAGTTTTCCCCTACAATGTTAGTTTGACCTTCGCCTGGTTATCTTCTTTCCAGATAATTACTAACTTCTGAACATTAACAGTAGTTTGTATTGTAATGCTTGCTAATAGGACTGCAGGAACAGTTGGAAGAATCCAAGTCTGATCCAGTTCAATGAAAAATTGACAAAAAACTTGGACCATCTCATCTTAAAAAAAAAAGTAGCTTCTAGTTGCATTAGACATGCCAAATATTTATTGTGTGCATCAAAACTTTATTAATGTATTTTCTTTGCAGGAAATACAATGGGGTTTAGCCCATTCTTCAAGAGCCCTCATTTGATAAAAATAGTGTCTTCTAGGTTTTCTATAGGTTTCATTATGTTTTAGCAAGAAAAAGTGTCAGGTTTTTTAATACATATTTTAAGTATTACATTAGCAGTGTCTCAGGTGCCCAACTGCCACAGGAATCAGCAGAAGCAAGGCATATTAACACCATAAAGTAAAATATTACGTGTACCTTAAACGGTATTTTTAACACATTTTTATGTTCCTCAATTGTCATAATTGTTGCAGACTTTTAAAGCTGACAGTATTTGACCCTTCTTGTTTCCCAAAAGAGAGCAACAGTAGAGGATACAGAAGCTTAACCATAATTTAAAGTAAAAGTTAACACGGAAGTGTAGCATTTGCTGAGTGAGGGACACACAACAGAGTGCGCTACAACCACAGCACTTGCCAGCTCCTTACTATGGAACGAGCCATGTTATTCCTAACACAGCACTTGCACCAGCGTTAGATGGCCCTAATTAGTCAAAATGAAGACATGGACAGTAATGTCTGAGTTATTTTCCCCCACTTTCTTCATGAGCTGGTTCCAGGTACTAACCTGCAGGCTTTTTATCTGGCAGAAGAGTTTCTGACACTTCAGCCTGTAGAACTATCTAGCTCAGGGCTCAAACCCAAACAGTTCAAGTGCAAAGGAGGGAGTGAGATTGCTGGATGAACAGAAATAAACCAGACTGAGACAAGCATAAACTCTTGTAGAACCATACCCAAAGTCTCCTGTGCCTTCTAAGCCATGCCTGTACTACAGGCAGTTCATGCAAAACCACGTCCTGCCTTTGTCAGTTGAGTCCTCACTCACAGAAAGGAGACTACAGATTAAAAAAAAAAAAGCAGGAAATAAAAATTCTGAGGCACTAATAGTTGTGGTAACACCATCCCACTTGTACGTATCCCACTAAGGCAGTAGGCAGAGAAAGTGGTGCAGTTCAGGACCTCTAGATCACAACACTACTTTATTCCTCCCTGCATGAAGATGTGCTCTGCAATCTACCTGTGCAACGAGCCTTGACTAGAAAATGGGCTGGAGTTGGGACTTCAGAGATAAGAGCACCCATTGAATGACCGAGCTTGTCCAGCCATCAACAATATGCGACGCTTTTGCATTAACTACTCAAGACTATCAAGGGTATTCCTTTAGAGCCTTCTCATGTACAGTACAAATTTCTACCAAGTATATGTAGGTCCTGCAAGATACACCTACATCATAATAAGGATGCCACTCTTAGATTGGACTGTACCATCTTGCAAAGTTTTTTCTGAGCAGCTTTCCCTGGTTTTTAAGTGTAGCTATTGGGAATTTATCTGCTCTGCTAGAAGCAGTAAGTCTTCTCATTGCAGGCAGACTTCAATTTTGACAGTCTTTTCCAGACAGGAAATGGTTTCTTAAACTCCCATCTTTCACAAATTTCCTCTTTTCCCTGGCTCCTCAGAGCCCACTGGAAAATAGACTTTAGAAATATAAGGCAATGAAAGTATAAGGTAGGGGTATGCGCCTACCAACCTTCTTCCTGCCCTATGTGTAAAATCCATACTTGCCTTCCCTGTGCTCTTCAAAAGCACAGCTAACTAGCTATTAGCCTAAAACGTTAGTAAAACACAAGCCTGCCAGCAGTGACTTGTTATTCGTCAGGAATATTGAGCATGTACACACAGGTACAGCCCTTCAAAAGACCAGGAAACAACACTGTGAAACATCTCTAATCCTCTTGGTTAATCTAAATGCAATGCAGTCATTCCAAATGGTTGGGCTGCCTCCTGCAAAGACAGGAGGAGACTGTCAGAACATGTTCTCTGTAAAAGCAAACCTGAATTTAGGGCAGTCTTAATGAGAGCCATCCAGCTATGTCCATATTCAACCATGCTCGTCTGTTCTGTCCTCACAGATCCCCCTAAAGCTGCCGCTTACTGTTTTCTGTCTGCTGGCTGGAACCTCAGCCTTGCTTTGGAAGGCATCAGTGAAGCACCCTGCTCTAACAAGTCTCTGCAGCACAGAACAAGGCAGCCTGGGAATCCCAGGGGACACTGAGCCAATTTACGTGGCTGTGACAACCTGCTTAAAAGAGTCCCTATGCCAGACAGAGCACTAGCAAACCTCAAGGAGCCAAAACTTAAAAAGAACACAGAAGGACAAGCAAGAAAACGTACATAACAAACACATGTAGTTATTCCTCTTATCTGCTATTATAGAACCACTCTAGATAAAATATAAATAGTATAATCCCATTTTACTGCCGTTGTACTGACCAGAGCAGAGCAGAGGTCTGGTCAGGCACAGAAAAATGGTGAGAACTGTAACTCCTGGTGACATCCAGCTGGCACCACATGCAGGCACTATGAAAAAAACCTAGACAGTCCTGATAACTTTAGTTTGATTTTAGCTTTGTGGTGAGAAGGAATTTGGGTACGTCAATAGACCTTATCTAAAAAACAAATTAAAAACACACACCACCACCACCGCCCCCCCCCTC